AGACTCCAACTCAAAAAAAAAAAAAAAAAAGTTGTAACACAAAATACCAGAAGGCAAACACCGTGTGGGAGATGATGTAAATAGACAGGACCCTCGGATGAGGTTCAGACAGAAGCATAGAACCTCAGTGTCACAGTGTTAAGTCGTGGTTCCCACATCTCCTCTGCTAGGGGCACTTCACCACTGCAATGTCAAGAGGGCCAGCTGGAAAGGGGGTGGCAGGAATGCTCATTCTAACCTTGCTAATATATAACCAGCTACATCAACTTGGACAGTTATTTCCTCTGTTTCTCTTTTTTTTTTTTTTTTTGAGTCAGGGTCTCACTCTGTCACCCAGACTAGAGTACAGTGGCATGATCACAGCTCACTGTAGCCTCAATCTCCTGAGCTCAGGTGATCCTCCTGCCTCAGCCTCCCAAGTAACTGGGAATACAGGTGTGCACCACCACACCTAGTTATTTATTTTTTATTTTTTTTATTTTTTTGCAGAGATGAGGTATTACTATGTTGCCCAGGCTGGTCTCAAATTCCTGGCCTCAAGTCACCCTCTTACTTCAGTCCCACAAAGTGCTGGAACTACAGGGGTGAGCCACCACACGCAGCCATCTGTTTCTCTTTCTTCATCTATAAAACAAAGTCCTACTCTACCTCGTAAGGTCTTACAGTGAGGTGGTATAATGAATGTTGCAAAACACTTTAAACACTAAAGTGCTCAACAACGTAAACAAGGTGGAGTTTATCTTAAACTTAACTTAAAGTAATAATAAACATTAAGTCTGTCACCAAATTGAGGAAGACCTGAGAACCAACCAACCTCAGAAATGTGAAAGCTGCTTAGATTACGGGAGTGTTAAACTGCCCTCCACTTCCCAAGAAATCTCTCTCTTCCCTCTCCAATTCCACAGATCTCTGATGGAGATTACTCCAAAAACTCCTGGCGCCACATAAATCTTTGACTTCTAAGTCAATTTCACTCAAGGGTATACTGATAGCAGGATTGACAGAGCTTATCCCTGACTGTACACCACACACAGACGCCAGCAGAGTAAAGGCAATCTGTCTTATTTGCCATGAAAATGATAAATATTGATTACTCTCTGATTCACAGCTGCAGTAATCCTCTCTGGTAGTGCTGGTTAAGTGCTGTGAACTCCTCTCTTCTGTTTTTATATGAGGTCTAATACACAGAGAAGTCATAAGCCCCAGAGGACAGCAATAAAAGTGAGTGGACAAGGCTGGACACGGTGGCTTACATCTGTAATCCTAGCACTTTGGGAAGTCAAGGTGGGAAGACTGCTTCAGTCTAGCATTTCGAGACCAGTGAAGGCAACAGTGAGACCTCGTCTCTACAAGAAAATCAAAAAATTAGCCAGGTGTGGTGGAGCACACCTGTAGTCTCAGCTACTCCGAAGCTGAGCTGGGAAGATCGCCTGAGCCTAGGAGGTCGAGGCTGTGGTAAGCGGTGATCATGCCAACTACATTCCAGCCTATGTGTCAGAGTGAGACCCAGACTCACAACAAAACAAGGACAGTGAACTTTTTCCAATAAGTGTCTAAAATAGGTGGCCACAAGCACCTTCTAACATCTGAATCTGAAAGGTACACACCATATAATAAGCACTGATGGGTGATCCACAAATACTCACTGAACACTTCCTATGGGCCTACCCCAAAATTATCACAAACATCAAAAAACAATATATTACTGGAGTTGACAGTATAGTAGAAGAGAGAAGACACTGATATCAACTCCCCTAGAAAGTAGAAAGGGATAACATCACGATAGTCATTGAGGTGAGGCCCAAACGCTTACAGCTGGGGTGATGAGTACCATGGGGTTTTTTGGGTTGTTACCCATCAACAAGTTAACTTGAATCACATGTTCTTACTCATAAGCAGACCTTGAACAACTATCATAATACTATAAGAAAGGGATGGGCAGTAGTGAGAAATTGCCAGGGGAGGGCGGGGATGGGACTGGCAGTAGTGGGAAACTGCCGGGAGGGGGGGGAAACACCTCGTCAACAAGGGTACCTGCATAATGAACATTTGTATACCTGACCCTAAACTGTACCCCACATCTTTAAAATAAAAAATAAAAAGCTAACTCGAGCTCTTGGTTCAGTCCAACAATCATATTTGCATCTGGAGTGTAAGAATAAAAATGCTGTCAAACACAAAACAAAAGGTCCAACCACACCAACACAAGAGACAGCTCACCGTGAAACACGCTGTTGTCCGCCAGAAAATGCCTGTGGAACTGCACATAGTTCCTTCTCTCCGAGTTCCAGTAACTCATTGTCAGAAGATTTCTGGCACAGCATCAAAACCAAATTGCCCTGTCGAGGGAAACAGAATGAGAGAAAAATGAGGAAAACGGCCGCCACACGCTCCTGCTGGTAGCATAATGCCATGGGTTGCCCAGCATTGTGGGACGAGGCATGGGGCATACCATGTCTCTGCATACAAAGCCAGGATGCCCCAGGCCCTGAGAAATTTCCCACCAATCTCCCCAGCAGCTAGAATGTCATCTAGCATACCAAAACAGTGACATTTTCAAACTGTACCTTTCAGGGTTCAAAGTTCCTGCTGTCTCCAGGGAAAATAATCTACCATCAGGGAGCGAGTTACAGCACTGGTTTATGTGCTCCAGGCCTTGCCCTGCACCAGTCAACATTGGTCATTTCTTCCGGAAATTTCACATGCAGCTGGGGTGATGACAGACGTTCCCAATTCCTGAATTTCGAGTCAGTGCAGCATCCATGTGGCCGCGGATAAGCCAAACACAGCAACCACACCTGCCTCCCTCTTTTGGGTTCACTACGGAGTGTCCATCTAGGACCACTAAGGCCTGACTCTGTCCAGGCTGAATTCATTGTGTCACTAGAGCCGGGCACAGGCCTCAGTGGGGTGAACCTCCACTTGCCCCTCCACAGACACAGAGAAACACAATGCTAGTTAGAGTGAGAACTTGAAAAGCAGAGATCCAAGTTGATGAATTAAACTCCTCCAAAAGCTGATGGGCATAATCCTGAACAAGGCCTCCTTTGTTCACAGGATTTGGCTAAAGCAACTTTCCAGAATTCCAACCTCCTTTCTGTTCACAGAAAAAAGCCAGGCAAAACCAAGCAAGACTGGCATGAAGTAAAATTCACAGGTGGGAAACAATTTGTCATCTGTCCTATGAAAGCAATCTAGGGTTTTGTAAAAGTACCCCAGGATGAAGGAAGCTGCTTCATGAAAAAAAAATAAATGATCAGCCAGGCGTAGTGGCTCACACCTATAATCCTGGCACTTTGGGAGGCTGAGGCAGGAGGACTGCTTGAGCCCAGGAGTTTGAGATCAGTCTGGGCAGCATAGCAAGACCTCATCTCTATATAAAATTTTTAAAAAATAGTGGGTGTGCCTGTAGTCCCAGCTACTCAGGAGGCTGAGGCAGAAGGATCACCTGAGCCCAGGAGACTGAGGTTGCAGTGAGCCATGATAGTGCCACTGCACTCCCACCTGGGTGGCAGAGTGAGACCTTAACTCAAAAACATTTTGAAAATTAAAAAATAATCACAGTGTTACCTATTCTTAATGGAACAATTGGCGAAAGCTCCTGAAGCTTCTGTCAGAACGTCTCCCTGGCTCCCAGAGCCCATACAGAACCCACCCAGATGGGGATCTTACTCCACTACAACCTACCCTACCTCTCCTCTAACTGGACTCCCCCTTTCTTCCTCTTCCCTCTTTCCCACTTGGCTAAGTCTGGTTGCTTGTTCTACTCCCTAAGCTGAGAGAGTCTCACCACTGTATAGAACCAGTTGCAAAATAGAGCAGAAAATAGCTAATTATGGAAGTAACTCCACCTCTGCCCTCTCCCCAGCCAATACTACATACTACAAAGATCTCTTCTTTTAAAAAGTATGTGTAGGCTGGGTGCGGTAGCTCAAGACTGTAATCCCAGAACTTTCGAAGGTCGAAGTGAGAGGACTGCCAGCGTCCAAGGGTTTGAGACCAGCCTGGGCAACTCGGTGAGAACTCATCTCTACAATAAATGAAAAAATTAGCCAGGCATGGTGGCGTGCTCCTGTGATTCCAGCTACTTGAAAGGCTGAGGCAGAAGGATCGCCGGAGCCCAGTGGGTTGACACTGGGGTGGCCATGAGCATGCCACTGCACTCCAGCCTGAGTGGCTCAAAAGTAATAATAATAAAATAAAAATAAAAAGTATTTATAGTGTTAGCAGGGCGTGGTGGCACATGCCTATAGTCCCAGCTACTCAGGAGGCTGGGACAGGAGGATGGCTGGAGCAGAAGCTCAAGGCTGTAGTAGCCGTGATTGCGTCACTGTATGTACTCCAGTCTGGGTGACAGTGAGACCCCGCCTCCAAAAAAAGCATTTTAGCTCTATAAGTAATGCAGTTACATACATTAACTTTTTAAAAACTCAAACAATACTGAAATTCATTATTTTTTAAAAGTGGAAGTCCCCTCTTCCCTCATTTCACGTCCCTCTCCTGAAATGATCACGTTGCTTGGTATGTATCATTCTCGTTCTTTTCCTATGTATAAATACACATGTATATAATTTTGAAGATGTCTACAATTTTTTTTTTTTTTGAATCAGAGTCTCACTGTCACCCAGCAGGCTGGAGGGCGGTGGCATGATCACGACTCACTGCAGTCTCAACCTCCTGGACTTACGTGATCCCACTTTAGCCTCGCAAAATGCTGGGATTGCAGGCAGGAGACACCACTGCCAGCTCATACGTTGAAATCTAATACCCAATGTGATGGTATTAGGATGCAGGCCTTTGGGCTCCACCCTTAGGCTCAGGATTAGTGCTCTTATAAAAGAGACCCCAGAGAGCTAGCTCCCCTTCTGTCATATGAGGACACAGCAAGAAATTGGCAGTCACCAGCCTAGCAAATGCCCTCACCAGACACCTAATCTAATAATGCCTTCATCTTGGAATTCCCAGCTCCTAGAACTGTGAGAAATGAATTTTTGTTATTTGTAAGCTACCCACGTGACGGTATTATGCTATAGCAACCCAAATGGACTAAGACAACATGAGAATGAATGAACTCACAAATGATTATGACCCTAGTTCTTTCAGGTGAGGCCCCAGATACTGATGAGCAGAAATATACCATCCCTTCTGTGCCCCTTCTGTATTTCTGACCCACAGAAACAGTAAAAGATAATTAATATTATTATTTTAAGATACAAGATTAAGGTGATTTGTTATATAGCAATAGATAATACACATAACATCCTCAGGCACATTCAATCAGGGTCGGGAGCTTTAACTCTTTGAGGAAGAAGGCCAAACCCATGGACATGTGTGTTATACTGAGAAACTTGAGCATCTGTGGCCCAGGCTTTCCAGCTTCCAGATCTTTCTGCTCACTCTGTAGTTACCACCCTTTTCTTTAAGGGCTTGGTGATATGCCACTGCCTTCATGAAATTTCCCCAAGAATCTCTCCCCTCCAGTTTACCTAAAATTATTTCATGCACTAAACTCCCATAATGCTGTCTTCCAATTACTAAGTACCTACTATGTATCAGGAATTATGGTAAAGTTTTACATCATGGAGTCTCAGCCGACTACACATTACAATCACCTGGGAAGTTTAAGAACTCTGACTTTCAGCCGGGCTCGGTGGCTCAGCCTATAATCTCACGCCTTTGG